TAATGATCATAATATTTTTATTGGTGATCATAACATTTGAATCAGTAAACATAACTATGCCTATTTACTTATTTACGACGAGTACGAGGATTCTCCAGCAGTCACACACTGACTTTATTCACCCGAAAGCGGCATGATTAAGTTCCTTGTTTTCCTAGGATTAGGATTTTCAACAGTGCTCTAAGTTTGATTAATGACTTTAATAATTTAAATAATTTAATTATAAATTTTTTAAAAAATAAGAGGATTTAAGTTTAAATTGTATAATATATAAGTGAGGTAAGTTAAACGGTGAAAGAGAGTTGTCTCTTAGTGTATGACATAAAATAAAAAAATTATTAATGACAAATTAATGACAACAAAAAATAATGATAATTTAATTACTATACTAAATGTAAATTTATATTAAAAGTATTATAGACTTTTTCATAAAATCTTAATACATGTATAATAAATTTTATTAAAACATTTCTACTAATATAATACTTAAAGTTAAATTTCCCCTAAACCAAAATAGAGATACATTGCACAAGAAACTTTTAAAATTTTTTTTATTTTACTATTTAAATTATATTAAATTATAAAATTATAACTTTTAAATAAAAAAGAGAATTTAATATCAAAGAACTTTTTTTAAATTTAAAAATTATTATTTTATAATTTAATATAACTTAAATTATAAAATATTTTTTCATTTCAAAAAATTACTAGAAGGAACAATTACGTTGGCAGAGTAAGGGCGTGGACGAGAAATCAAATTTTAAATTCCTTATTTATATAAAAAAATTTCAAATATGAACAGGTTTTTTGAACCCAATTATTCATTTTTAAATCTAAGTGTTTGGATTCAATTGATGAGAATTTAATTTTCATTAACTATTTAACAAAAAAATTTCCCAATCCCCATATTCAAAAAAAAAAAAAAATTCAAATACATTAAGTTCAAACAAGTGGTGTACAACTTATTAAAATCGTATCATTACTGCAATATATTGATGAGAAGTTCAATAGGGTATACTTTTGGTAGCCCTGTATGATTTTGAGTAGGGCATCAATATTTGTATTGCCATGTTCAACAATAGGGTATACTTTTGTTTTGGGCTGTCTTAGATGGTATGTTGGTTGTGTGTCTTATATTTTTTAATTTATCCTTACATCAAAGTAACCGGTTAAAGCCAACCCCTACATTTGAAAAGACTGCCTTGTTTCTGTTTATTTGTTAAATCGGACTCCAAATCCCATTCCAAATTTATTCAATGGTAACGAGTGATGAAAATTGCACAACTTTGTAAACTTCTTTCAAATTAGTCTATGTCTAAATCTGTCAGGCCCCCCTACCCAAGGACAATTATCACGGTCGGTGACAGCTTTAACTTCAAGGTTAAATGTTAAATTTGGCCCCTTAACTTTAGTGAGTTGCACATTTTTGATCCTTTAATAATTTTTTCCACTTTTTTGATCCCTCAACTCTGAGAAATGCACACCGTTAATCCTTTTGTCAATTTAGACCGTTAACTACGACACGTGGCATTTTTTATAATTTTTTTGATGACATGGCAAAAATAATTTTAAAAAACGTTGATCTGGAATTTTTTTTAAGCCACGTTATTGCCAACTCATCACCAACTCATCAACCGATTTTGCCTTAATAAAAAATAGAAAATTACAAATTTACCCATCTCCCTTTTTTGATCCATCTTCTTCCCCTCTTTCGATCATCTTCTTCCTTTCTTCTTTTTCTTTTTCTTTCTTCCTCTTCTTTCTTCCTCTTCTTCCTCTATGTCTGCTCGGTTCGATGGAACCCAGCAAATTGGGTTCCATCGAACCCAATTGCTGGGTTCGGTGAACCCAGATCAACTGGGTTCCACCGAACCCAACTCGGGTTCGATGACTGGGTTCGAGCTGGGTTCCACCGAACCCAGCTCGGGTTCGATGAACCTAGTTTGCTGGGTTCGAGCTGGGTTCCTTTGCTGGGTTTGAGCTGGGTTCCGTCGAACCCAGCTTCACTTTTTTGTTTTGTTTTTTTTTTTTTGTTATATGTTGGTTTACGAAGAGATTATCCAAGACATTATATGTTTGTTATATGTTCAAAATGGAAATGGAAAGAACAAAAGCAGTTGGGCAAAGAAGCAATTCTTAGTGGGTTTTCATTTGTTTGGCTGGAAAATGGTATAGTTTGGGTGTTTGGATGCTGAGAAAATGTTTTGAATTTGTTTGGTTGCCGAGATTGATTACTGAGAAACTATAATGTCCGTTAAAGAAAGAAAATTTGATGAGAAAATGGTGATTTAATTATATTAATTTAGAATTTTAATTTTGATTAATATAAATAATTATAGTTTAATGATGATTAATTAATAAAATTTGATTTGATATTA